TAGAGGGAAGGTCATTGATAAAGAAGCTGATGACTGGGCCTAGTGTGCTTTTCTGAGAAAAGCTTACACAAATTGGTACTGAGATGACTCTTTCAGCAATTAGAACCATCTTTGCTGTGACTCCAACCACCATAGAGATTCCCCCTAATTCCCATTGACTTCATTTTTGCTTGCATCCTTCTCATCACAACAGTAATGTGACCTTAATGTCAAGGGTAGTCAATCTGTCTCACTTCCAGAATCCAGCTCGTCTGTTCACGTTTGAGCCAAACCTGTAATGAGGTCAGGAGCTTAGTGGTCCTGGAGGAACTCAAAATTGGCATTACTGGCCAGGCTATTGCTAGGTAGGTATTGTTGATGACCTCTTCCATCAATTTATTAATGATTGCAAGTAGGCTGGTGGGGCTGTAATTGGACAGGTTATATTTGTCCTGCTTTGATGCGTAGATACCAGTGTTGTGTAGCTGTACTGGAACAATATTCTAAGGTTATGGTAAGTTGTGGAACACACAGCTTCTGTATTATTGCCAGAAGCTTATCGGGATCCACAGACTTTGCATTATTTCATGCCTTTAACCATTTCTGAATATCACGTGGAATGAGTCAAATTGGCTGAAGGCTGACATCTGCAATGTTGGGGACTTCTGAGGCTGAGATGAATCATCCATTTAGCACTTAGAGTCATAGAGCCGTACAGCATGGAAACAGACCCTTCAGTCCAACTCGTCCATGCCGACCAGATATCCTAAATTAATCTAGTCCCATTTGTCAGCATTTGGTGCCTAATGCTCTAAGCCCTTCCTATTCATATACCCATCCAGATTCCTTTTTAAATATTGTAATTGTACCAGCCTCCTCCTCTGGCAGCTCCTTCCATTCATGCACCACCCTCTGTGAAAAAGATGCCCCCTTAGGTCCCTCTTAAATCTTTCCCCTCTCACCTTAAACTTATGCCTCCTAGTTTTGGACTCCCCTGCTCTGGAGAAAAGACCTTGGCTATTCACCCTGTCCATGCCCCTCATGATTTTATAAACCTCTATAAGGTCATCCCTTGGCCTCTCATGTTCCAGGGAAAATAGCTCCAGCCTCTCCCTATAGCTAAAACCATCCAACCCTGGCAACATCCTTGTAAATCTTTTCTGAGCCCTTTCAAGTATCACAACATCCTTCCTATAGCAGGGAGACCAGAATTGCATGCAGTATTCCAATAGTTGGCTAACCAATGTCCTAAACAGCCACAACATGACCTCCCAAATCCTATGCTCAGTGCACTGACCAATAAAGGCAAATATACTAAGTGCCTTCTTCACTATCCTGCCTACCTGGGACTCCACTTTCAAGGAAACATGAACCTGCAGTCCGATGTCTCTTTGTTCAACAGCATTCCCCAAGACCTTACCATTAAGTGTATAAGTCCTGCCCTGGTTTGACTTTCCAAAATGCAGCACTTCACATTTATCTAAATTAAACTTTATCTGCCACTCCTCGGATTATTGGCCCATCCAATCAAGATCCCGTTGTACTCTGGGGTAACCACCTTCTTCACTGCCTAGTACACAAAGGTTGTAAGGAGAAACCAGGGAACTGTAGACATGAGTGATTTCGGTTGTGGGTAAATTGTTGGTGATTATAAAAAAAAAATGGGATTTATGAACATTTTAAAGAGGCAAAAATTGATTAAGGATAATCTTGATTGAGTTTTTTGAGGAAGTTACCAAAAAGATTGGCAGGGCAGTAGATGTTTATTTGGATTTTTAGTAAAGCCTTTGACAAGGTTCTGCATCATAGACTAAATTAGTAAAGTTAAGTCACATGGGATTCTGGGTGAGCTTGCTGCTCAGATACATAATTGGCTTAATGGCAGGAAACAAGTAGTGGAGGAGGATTGCTTTTCATGCTGGAGGCCTGTGACCAGCGGTGTTCTACACAGACTGGTTCTAGGTCCTCTTTTGTTTGTCATTTATATAAATGATTTGGATGAGAATATAGAAGGCATGGTTAGTAAGTTTGAGGAAGACACCAAAATTGGTAGCATAGTAGACAGTGAAGAAGGTCTTCTAAGATTACAAAGGGGTCTTGATCAAATGGGTCAGTGGACTGAAAAATGGCAGATGGATAAATGCAAGTACTTGCATTTTCGTACAACATACACGGGCAGGATTTATCCAATTAATGGTAAGGCTTTCGGTAGTGTTGTAGAACAGAGGAACCTGGCGTGCAGGTATATAACTCTTTGAAGTTTGCTTCACATACAGACAAGGTGGTTTTCTTCATTGCTCAGTCCTTTGAGTATAGGAGTTGGGAAGTCATGTTGAGGTTATAGGATATCGGTGAGGCCTCTTCTGGAATACAGTGTCCGATTTTGGTTGCCCAATTATAGGAAGGTACAATCAAGCTGGAGAGGGCTCTGAAGAGGTTTACCAGGATGTTGCTGGGTATGGAAGGTTTTGAGTTATAGGTGCGATAGGCTGGGACTTCTTTCATTGGAGCATAGGAGGTTGAGAGGTGACCTGCTAGAAGTTTATAAAATAATGAAAGGTATAGGTAGAGTAAATGGTAGTTGCCTTTAAAGACTAGGGGCACATTTTTAAGTTGACAGGAGAGAGATTTTTAAAATGAACATGAGACAAATTTTTTACACCGGGTGGTTCGCATGTGGAATGAACTTCTGAGGAAGTGGTAGATGCAGGTACAATTACAACATTTAAAAGACATTTGGATAGATAAATGAATAGGAAAGGTTTGGAGGGAATGGGCCAGGAGCAGGTAGGTGGGACTAGTTTAGTTTGGGATTATATTCGGCATGGGCTGATTGGACTGTAGGTTCTGTTACCATGCTATATGATTCTATAATTCTGGAATCTTCGATTACGGTTTCATCTGCAAACTTACTAACTGTACCTCCTATGTTCACATCCAAATTATTTATATAAATGACAAAGCGGTGGACCCAGCACCGATCTTTGTGGCATACTGCTCGTCACAAGTCGGAAAAGCACCCTCCACCGCCACCCTGTGTTTTCTACCTTCAAGCCAGTTCTGTATCCAAATGTTTATTTCTCTCTGTATTCCATGTGATCTAATCTTGCTAACCAGTCATGAGAAACCTTGTTCAATGCCTTACTGAAGTCCATAGAGATCACATTCACTGCTCTGCCTTCATCAATCCTGAGCTTTTTGAAGTAGTAACAAGATCAAGTTAGTCAGAGACGATCTCAATAAATCTTCAATGTGAAAGTGAAACTTTGTCCCCAGAAAGACTGTGTGGTGATCACTTGTGCTGACACAGTCATGGGTGGATGCATTTGTGATCAAGTATGTTTTACCTTCTTGGCTCTCTCGCCACCCTCTGCAGATCCAGCCATGTCTTTCAGGATTCAACACATGAATAAAATTGCAAAATGGCAATGTAATTGCACTTTTTTTTCATTCACCCATGGAATATGGGCATCTGTCTAGAGCAGCATTTATTGCCTAGCCCTAATTCCCTAGACTGTGATGTGGGTCTGAAGTCACACATCGGCTCGACCAGGTCAGGCTGACAGATTTCCTTCCTTTAAAGGATAGTAGTGAATCAGGTGACTTTTTTTTTGATGATCGACATGTATTATGTTCTCATCGTAGTCTTTTTTTATTCAGATTTCACCGTCTGACGTGGAGTTTCGAATTACTGGTCCAGTGACACTACCACTGTCTCCCCTTTTACAAATCACTGACTAATACAATGCAGGTTTAATGTACTTTTATTTATAAACTAAAAATAAACATGAGAAATTACAGGGTTTTATCTCTAGAGAGGTCAAAGTAAAAAGTATTGTATTGAATCTAAATTAGATCATACTGCATATAATTCTGGCTATTCTATAGTGCAAGATGGTGGAGGCAGTGGACAGGGTGCCTAAAATGTACAGGCTTAAGCTTGACTTGAAGGGTGTTACCAATCAGTGAAAAATGCATGAGCAGCAGCATCCCTTTTCTAACTGCGTAGTATTTGGCAAAAGTAGGGAAATGGAATTTGAATTGATTGTTCCATTAAGGAATTCACGCTAGCGCAGGTGTGGTGGCTTCTTGCTATAATTTGTGTTCAAATCGGTGGTTTGCTGCTATTTTCAACATTAACCAAAATAGATAAGTTAACGGTGCAGCACAATCACAAATTGAGGTTGGTTTTAATTTTATAACTTTAATTGCACCTGTGTAGTATAATTATTTTTAAAGAACTTGTGTATGTATGACCAGCTTTCTTTGTGAATATCTGGTTGCGTTATTCTTTATGGGCGGACAGGTTATTCTTGTAGCCTACTTTTTAGGTGGTGATTTGACAAATTGTGATTTTTGAGTGATGTGTAGAAAGATGGTCATATCCCTCTATTTGAAGAATTGGAGAAATATTACTGTGACCTTTTTTTTTTAATCTGTTAGTGCTGGTTTTGCACTCTTGCCAAAGCTGTAAATGATATGATACCACTAACACTTGCTACCTTTTTCTCCCAACTTCCCAGCCATCTGTGACAGGATAGCCCTATTAGAAAATAATCTATTATAAAGTACTGCTTTGAGTAATATAGCTGAAGAGCATTCTTTATAAACAGTCTTTTGAGGTCTCTTGAAAATGACTGAACCCATTCTATACTTCATAAAGTCTTTAGTGCGGAAACCTGTGCTGATGTCCACTGTGTTTTTACAAAAACAGATATTGCTGGAGAAAGTCAGCAGGTCTGGCAGCATCTATGAAGAGAGAAAACAGAGTTAATATTTTGAGTCCAGTGACCCTTTTTCATAACATTCTGAAAAAGGGTCACTGGACTCAACATTAATTTTGTTTCTGTCTGTACAGATGCTGCCAGACCTGCTGACTTTCTTCAGCAATTTGTTTTTAAGATTTTCAGCATCTGCAGTTGTTTTATTCAAACATGTTTATGAAGTAGGCTTATTGTGGCTTGAATAAGCACATTATTTGGTTACTTTTTCATTCCTAATTCTTGGAAAATTTTTTTCAGTATCCATATGCATTTGGACTACTCCTGGCTTCAAGCTGGTGTATCCTTGTTTGCCTCAGCCGACTCTACATGGGGATGCATTCTATTCTGGTGAGTAAATCGTGAGATTTTGAACCATATTACTTTTTGATTATGGAAATTCACTAGCTTAATAAGTTTGAAGTATAAAGCATCAATTACTAAGCACCCACACCCATGGCTGGTATTGTTACTGTTTACCAACTACCATATCCTTGAATGTTCAACCTTCAATGAAGTTCTGGATAGACCACTCCTCCCAAGGAAACCTAAGGGATTTCCAATAAGGTATATATTTTTCCCTTTTAATATTAATTCTACGTAATGGTATGGATTAATTCATTCCTTACCTGTAGTGGTATCACCGAATAATCCGTGCCTGATAGCATGTGGTAAGTAGTTTCAGCTGCATGTTTGGTAAATTTTTGTTACCACATCATTTTGCCCTTGATTTGAAATTGCAGTGAGTATCTGCTTAGTACTGCAGGTATTGTTGCTTTAAAATAGCAATTGCATAATGCAGTTTGTAGAATAGACAAGAATTATGGTTAAACCACCATTGGCTGTTTTCATCAGATACAGGTAGTTCTCCTACAACGTGATAGTTGATTTCTTGCATGACCTCGCACTACAGAAAATCGCTACAGTTGAAAGTTTGCATTATCCAAACAGCGTCCACTATTCATCAATTGTGTTACAGCCAATTCACGTTAACAAAACACATGTTATTGCAGAACTACCTGTGTTTAATGTGCCTGAAAATTGCTAGATCATTCATCCAGCATAAACAACATCCTGGCAATGGTGTACTTACACTGGAAACCTCCAAGTAAACTTTGTCTTTGTTCACTCGTGCTAAGATCTACAGTGTCCTTGGAAATGCACAAACGGAACATTGAATGCCTACTATTTGTCGTTAAGGTGGTAATGTTGGTGCTCTTTGACGCAATTGAAGTGGAAATCAAGTTTTTTTTTCTTATTGTGCCTATAACAAAATTTAGTATTCTGATTTTACAGAATGTTTCTCTTCCCGTTTCTCCAACCTGTATGTGCTTGCTTCTGGAAAATCATTATTGAGACTGTCTGTATGTGTACACGCATGTGCACATGACCATAGGGCACTGAAGCTAGTTATACAATGATGCTTCTCCTGATCTGGAAAACTCTGCATTAGCTGGGTTTGAGTCTGGGCAAATTTATAGCCTGTTTAGTTCACTATTGTTTCCTGTAGTCATTAAGCCATCAAAGACACAGCCTACTTTTACACTGTCAAAATTGCATTCACCAGGTCGTCAACAATGTCTTGGCAATGCAGCTGTAGTTATCATGCTGTTGCTTTAACACTGAAGAGTGGTTCTGTTTTGAAAGCAAGTGCACAACAAATACTTTTCAGTTGAACCTTGTATATTCAGATCTAGGGATTAATAGTTTCAAACTTGTCACCTATTTTTGCCTCCTGGCCCTGTAACAGATGCTGTTGTGCATTTGGCTGTTAGCATTTTGATGCACCAGAAACCAGCATCACTCCACCTGCCACACAGCCTGGAAACCTGGGCTTCTTAGTGTTGAATAATTGTTGCATGCATGTAAAAACTAGCTTGAGCAATCATTAAGGCTTTCTCCTCTCATTTTCTTACGTGGATAATGATTTAGGACTTGGTAGTGGTGTTGGCTTTGTAAAACCAGTAGCATTTTACGATTCCAAAAATCATTTTAATGATATGGTTATAAAGTCATAGAGTCATACAGCATGGAAACAGATCTTTCGGTCCAACCAGTCCATGCTGACCATGTTCCCAAACTAAACAAGTCCCATCTGCCTGTGCTTGGCCCATATCCCTCCAAGCTTTTTGTATTCGTGAACTCTCCAGGCATCTTTTAAACATTGTAACTGCACCTTATCGAGTTTGAACTGGTCACACAAAAGTGGGGTGAAACTGTGCAGAGATCTAAACATGAATGTGACTTTTAAATTGAGGGCCTAATCGAATTAGGAGCCAATGTTGACAAGCAGAGTTAACTCGTGAGCCAGTCATGCACTGTAAAATGCAGATACGAAACTTTGAAGTTTGTGAAGGATGGAAGTTGATCATAGGAGTGGTGGAATTGCTCAGTTTGAAAGTGACAAAAGGGTTTCAGTGGTGGATAGGCTGAAGAAAGGGAGGAATTGACAAATGAAGGCAGAAGTGGACAGTCTCTGTGATGGAAGATATACGGAGTTGAAAATTCAGCTAAGTGCCCATTAGAGCATTGTGACTGCAATCTGATTCACCCAGGATGATGCTTGTGAAGGAGCTGGCACCTGCCATGAGAGTACAAAGTTAATTGTGAGTACTGAAGACAAAAAGGTTTCAGTTTTCCCAATGATTAATGAGCAGAAATTGCTGCAAGTCCAAGAAAAGCCGGCATTGAAGAAAGTTAAGAGCTCTCATGGTAATTGTGCAGAAGTAGGAAGAGAAACCAGTGCTGAAAATTTAGCCGGTTTGATATTAAAAGTGGCAGAGTTTTGAGAATCAAGTATTTTCTCAAATTATATTGTTTATAAAATTGTCAAGTTTTTTTTGTATTTCTTGCTCTGAGTTTTCTTAGGGAACAATACACAGGCAAGTGACAGACGGAACTGAGCTTATGCAACACATGAGATGGAACATGCTCATTTTTATTCTTTCCCCTTTTGCCTCTTCTTTCTCCTTTCTTATTTATGTTCTTGTTTTTTATGTGCTGGGTTTTTCTGATTCATTCTGACATCATCTCTCTCGCTCTCTCTCGCTCTCTCTCGCTCTCTCTCGCTCTCTCTCGCCTAACTACACTATACCGCGCCTGTCTACAGGATGTAATAAGGCATTAACTGTCGAAGTGGTTAGAGAGAAGAATATGCTGAGTAAATTTCAAAGACTGAAAAACACAGCTAAGATTTTAGATGTTTAAGACTTTGGAAACGGGAGGTTGGAACTAGGGCAATAGTTTGGAAGTGTGTGTGATGCCTGTTCTTCAAATGGAAAAGGGGCAGCACCAGAGAGGACCATTGTACGTTATCAGCTAATGTGAAGGTCTGGAATGGAAGTGGGGAAGACAGCAGCTCATTGCAAATGCATTCAAAGTAGGAGGGTGGGCTCATTGACCAGATAAACTTGGATTAGGAAATGGGAGGGGAAGGAAGAGAGACTAAGCAAAGGCATAAGTTGTGTGTGGCGCCAAGGACATTTAGAGATTAGGGAAATTTTCAAAGCTAATTTAATGAATAGGTAACCATACAGGTTGCACATACAGAATGCCGTGTAGGAGACTACTAGGTATAACATTAGGTAAAAATCAAACAAATTGCAAGGCTGCCATACAATGAACTGTAGAGTTGGCCAAGGAAACCACCAGTCCAACAAATGTTAAGAGCAATAGCCCTTTTTTTTATCAGTAGCAATAGATCAGTGGATCACACATCACTGAAGCTGGTTATAGAATGTGAATCCCAGGGCCACAGCACTGTCATTTGCCGTTAATGCACACCTGGAGGTGTTTCTTCTGGGCAAAGTGATAGCCTGACAATAATTTATGGCATTTCTGTTTTTGTTTTAAAATGTAAACAGGTTGCACTTACTCTTCACTGCAGACCCCAGAATATGTCTGTGATTTCTGCTTCACTTTTACAGTATTAACGTTGCTTCTAGTTGTGATCCATGTACTGTCTTCCCTTGAAAATAACACAGAACATTAAAATAAAAACCAAAAGAACTGCGGATGTTCTATATTTGACAAAAATAGAAATTGCTGGAAAAGCTCAGTAGGTCTGGCAGCATCTGCGGAGAGGAATCACAGTTTACATTTTGAGTCAAATGATCCTTCCTCAGACGAATTGTCTCCACAGATGCTGCCAGACCTGCTGAGCTTTTCCAGCAATTTCCAGTTTTGTCTCAGAACATTAAAATGTCCTTTTGACTGCATTGTGATATTGTAGAGTAATAATATTGACATTTAGACACAATTTTATAATGTAAACAATGTTTTTCAGGTGTTTGCCTTTCACTTGGGTTGGGCAGCAAGTATTGTAAGGGGTAACTATGACTGTAAAATTATTTAACTACCTTTTGCAGTCATCTATTTCTAAGCACATTAATATTCATTGTGCTTGCTGCTACATGGGGTCCAGTTCCAAGATTTTATCGCACCAGTAGATTCAATGTTGTGTGATTTAATAGATTTGGTTAGGGATGTCATGTGCAATTGTACAAAAAGATGAGGAAAGATATGCACAATGCAGATTTAAGGAGTTTGTTCTCCTTTTTGATTTATTTTTAAATTTATTATTTTAAAATTTATTTTGAATCAAAAGCGCACGCCCATCCTATTTTTTTTACATGCGTAATTTGGAGAAGGATAAGACCTTTTTATTTCTGTGCACACTATCGATGGATAATAAAACATGCTGATAACCTATAATCTCCAATGCCGGTGACATTGACATCAAGTGTATATTAATAGTATTTAACAACAAGGAATACTTTCTGTATCCACTCTGCCAAAACCTTTTATAATTAAAAGCCTTTTTTAGGTTACTCCCTCAGCCACTGCCTTTTCAAGAGAGAAGAGACTTAGCTAGTCGATCTATATCTTTGTATACCAATACAGATCTGGTATCATCATTATTTGTTTATCATTCTACTTTCTCAGTTCCTCTACATCCTTTACATAACATAGCAACCAGTATGGTGCACTGTATTATAAATGGTTCAATACAGCTTCAACATAACTTACCTACTTCCAATCCTATCTCTCTCGAAATAAAGTTTTGTACTTGGTTAGCTTTTCTTCTGCTCACTTTTCATAAATTCAAATTGTATATTTATGCTCCAGGATTCTTTTTCTTCCTCCACAACATCTAGACTACTAAGATTACTTTGCAAGTAATATGTGACCTTCCTATTCTTCCAACCAAAAATATATTATACATATTTGAACTTCATTTGGCAATTATTTGTCCGTTCTGCAGCATTACTAATAAAATAACTTCCACACTCCCCTTAGGTAGATTTTCTATGATTCACCATCTTCCAAGTCAAGAAGTTCCTTTGCGTCTTAGTCTTAAATGACTTGCCTTTTATTCAGATTCTTTTGTGGTTCTAGGTCTCTCAGCCACGAAAACATTCTTTCTGCTTCTATTCTGTCTGTGCTTTTAAGAATTTAAGTTTCTATGATATTGCGTTTATTCTTTGAAGTTTATTCTTTCCTTTTATAGGGCAGTTCCAATATCCCAGGATCAGTCTCGTGAACCTCCACTGCCTTCTCATTAAGGCGTGGTGTAGCCTTAAGCAGGGGGACTAGAACTGCACGCATTCCTCCAGGTGTGGTTTAGCCAGCCTTAGAATCGTAGAATTTTACAGTACAGAAGGAAGCCATTCAATCCACTGTCTGTACCAGCTCCCAAAAGAGCCATCCAGCTAGTTACATTCTCCGGCCCTACCTCTGTAAGTCCCCTAAATTCATCACGTTTTGAATATATCCAGCACTCTCTTGAAAGATTTTTGACTTCTACTTTTCCATCTCATTTCTCGTTTCCTTCTCATGTCTCCCTGTTCGGTTTTCTATCCCCCGCCACTATAATTTAGACAGTAAAATGCCCCGTAGGGATTTTGGCCCTAATCCAGCTGGGATGCAACCTGTCCAGCGTGTACGTGTCCAATTTTCCCCAGAATTAGTCTTAATGCCTCAGGAAATTCTATCTCTCCTATGCCTTCAACAATGCATTCAACTGTTCTATTCTCATATTGCTGATCTCGCTAGCAGACTGCGTTAATCAAAGGATTATGCACATTTGAGATCCTGCTTTTAAGTTTATACACCAGCTACTTATATTATATTAGGACCTCATCCCTCTTTTTACCCATAGTCTATGATGTCTGGCTGTTCATCCTCCCCCTTCAGAGTGTATGACCTTTCAGCTATTCAGTGACAGTCATGATCCTGGTACAAGGAAGATAATATACCATTCCGGTGTCATGGATACAGCTGCAGAAATGTCTATCTGTTCCCCTTATGATAGAATCCCCTAACAATTGACACTCCACACCCACCCCCCGCACCCATATTTTTTTTCTGTCTACCTCGTAGGCAGCGGAGCCACTTGTGCCGTGGGTCTTGTTGCATTTCCCTCAGAAACCATCTCCCCAGCATCTCCAAAACAGAAAATCTGTTAGAGAGGGAGGTGAACCGAGGGCAGTCCTGCACTATCTGTCTAGTACTTTTACTCTGACTTGATTACCTACTCTGTCTGCAGCTTTGTGAATGTTCCACAATGACTCCAGCTACTGGCCCTGATCTGAAATGCAGGGCTGCATGGAAATGTTTCATGCACGTGGAAGTGCCCCAGACTTAACATCTCATACAGGAGCAACATTACACATGGATAACCTTGTGCCCATCCCTGATTGCCCAAAAATTAAGTGTCAGTTACATTGCTATGAGTCTGGAGTCGCATGTAGGATGGCAGATACCTTTCCTAAAGGGTATTAGTGATAATGCAACAATCAATATTTGCTTCGTGGTCATCATCCGGATCTTGATTCCCAACTTTTTAAAAATTGAACTTGCGCTCTATTATTTCTGCCGTGGTGGGTTTCAAACCTGAGTCTCCAGAACATTACTTGGGTCTCTGGATTAATAATCAGCAATAATACTACTAGGTCACCACCACCTTTCTACTTTAAATACTACTAAATCTAAACCAAATACCAGCAGCAGCTGCTCAATAACCAATCAGTTCTCAACTTTTCTGTGATGTCACTTGGCTTTTTTTCTAATATGCCTCAGCTGCCAAGTCAGGTCTGATTTTGCAGCCCTGTTTTTCTCCCAGACTGCGGGTAAGTCTCTCGTTTCTTTTTTTAAAAAAAATTTCATATTTGTCAAATGTGATTTCCCCTTCATATATATCTGTGTTGCATACACCCAAATATGCAATTATTTTCTAAGTATCCAATAATCATATACTATATAATAGATTCTGATATTTTCCTTACTGCAACAATCTTTTTTGTGTTTCTTGCTATTTTACTTTTTTTATTCTCTCTTCGTTTATTAGTAGTACGTCAGGCTTAACAGGCCTGTCGTATGCAGTTTTCTCCCTTCCTTAAACAGTGAGGCTGCATTTGCAACCTTCCAATCTGCAGGCATCATTGCAGAATTAATAGAATTTTGAAAGATTGTTTGCAAGTGCATCCACTGTTTGCACCCATCTGTTTTGGTGCTCTCGAGCATGAAGGTCATTGAATTCCAAGGATTGGTCAAATTCTAGTCCAATTAACAAGATCCTTGGATTTTAATTATTTCAGAGACTTCTGTCTTCCTGTGCAATTTTGAACTAACTAAACCAGCTCTCTAAAATGGAATCAGAGATAGTAGGAACTGCAGATGCTGGAGAATCCGAGACAACAAGGTGCAGGGCTGGATGAACACAGCAGGCCAAGCAGCATCATAGGAGCAGAGAGGCTGACGTTTCGGGCCTAGACCCTTCATCAGAAAAGGGGGAGGGGAAGGGGGTTTTGAAATAAATAGGGAGAGAGTGGGAGGCGGATAGAAGAGGGATAGAGGAGAGGATAGGTGGAGAGGAAACAAACAGGTCGAAGAGGCGGGGATGGAGCCAG